AGCAGCCGTTGTTGTGGTTTGAGCAGTTGTTGTTGTTGTTGGAGCAGCAGTTGTTGTTGCTCCTGCAACTGTTGTTGTGGTTGGTGCTGCAGTGGTTGTGGTTGGAGCAGCTGTTGTTTTTGTTGGAGCAGCAGTTGTGGTTGTTGGTGCCACCGTTGTTGTGGTTTGTGCTGCAGTGGTTATAGTTGGAGCAGCGGTGGTTGTGGTTGGAGCAGCTGTTGTCGTTGTTGGTGCAGCTGTTGTCGTTGTTGGAGCAGCAGACGTTGTTGCTGGAGCAGCTGTGGTGGTGGTTGGTGCCACAGTGGTTGTAGTTGGAGCGGTTGTTGTTGTTGGAGCAGCTGTGGTTGTGGTTGGTGCTGCAGTTGTTGTGGGTAAAGTACAGGTTGGTCCAATTTTTATGGTACCAACACTCTGCATGAAAGGTAGAGAACCCAGGCTTGAAGCAGCTGCACACAGGTTGCTGGATGCACAGCCGTAAGCTGGAAAATCGTTGGTGCCATCGTTCACTGAAGATGAAAAACCGCAGTTTCAACAATTTCGCATATTTTTAGACATACATGACTGTGTAGTAGCCTTTGAAAATCAAGACATATTTATATAAAAATATAATATTAATGGGTATAAGTTCGAAAAGTTTTCGAGGCATCATTTCAGTAAACTATTTCCATTTAGCAAACATAAATATCTTGTACATAAAAAGTAATCTAACATCTTTTTAAATCTGTTCTGTTTGCTGACAATGCTGAAACTTGAAATCTTACTGTAGTGACTTTTGGGTGTACTCTAAGACCTGAGTTGTGGGTTCAACATTTCTAATGTATAATACCATACCCACCAGTAAACAATTTTTAATTAGACACACGAACAGAGCCTGATTTTCAGTCAGTTGTTTCGTGATTTTCACATTCAAGTTATTGAAAACATGTACTCACAATGTCAGAACCCAAATGGATTTCCTTTTAATGAACAGTGTTCCTACACTCGGCGTTCTATTATCACATATGTTGTTTTCCATTTAAAGCAGGTAACTGATTTTTGCATCATCAAGAAATCAAAGTGCTTCTCTTGATGTTTTCATGTGTATTTTCTTTACTTTGCTCTTTTTGTGATGGACATTTATCTCTTTGTTTTCAGCTCTTGTTTTATACAAATGATTAGTCATGACAATAACTGACAGATTAATCACTACCTCCATGCTACAAATATTTCGGGAATACTTCTTAACTAATATATTTATGTGTTGTGGAAAAATATGTATCATTTCCTACACTGATTATCAAATCTTCATCTTTAAAGATTTAAAGTACAAAATCACATTCATTACAAATATGGATAAAATGCTTGGTTATGGTTTTCCTGACTGATTGAAAAAAAAGAATGTTTGTTGAATTTATTTTATGCAAAAACCAAATTTAAAGATACTTTTTGTTAAAGTATGCATGATGAAGACTCACTCATTGATTGAAAGCATTGGTCCTCCACTCCCTGACATTGCAATGGTGTGTTGCACTGAGAGGTGGAACAAGAGTTACATAGTAGGCCGTTACTTGACTGAGGAGTAGGGGCTGAAACAGAAAAGAACATAATTTCACTTTAGAACAGAATATTTCGGCAGATATCAGAATATTGTTTCTTATCCTTTTCTGTCATGTCTGTTCGGTTATGTGTCTTTAACTTAACTGATTTCTACTTACCAGCCAGAGTTGCTGAGTTGCAGTTATTCGTTTTGCAGCACGTGGCAGATGCAAGAGCACTTTGAACACCCAGGTCAACTGAAAATGTCTGAGAGCAGGTAGTTGGACACAGGGAGGAAGATGCACATGCCTTGTAGATTTGTATTGCCGTAGTTCCAGATGAGGTAGCTGCAAAGTAATTTTAATATTTTTAATGATGAATTTTATTAATGTTGATGGAAAGCACACATAGCTTCACAGGTATTTGAAATTTACTGAACTGTATGAAATAATATGAAGAAAAGATTACCTAAAATAGTAGCTGTAACACACATGGTCTCTGAAGAACATGTTTTTGCTACTGTGGTTGAACACGTCTGATCTGTGCAGGTTTGACACTGAAGGGCTCCAGCTGCAATCAGGAGAGAAACAATGAAAGGACTGAAGTTAAAATGAAAGATTACAGGTTTTTAAATACCGCACTATATTGGTATTATCAAAGAGTCTTTATCTCTTCTATTTTTTAAGCTGTTGCACAGATTGATGAAATGCTGTTAATCTCTTTAACATCTATATAAATATATTTTTTAATAAAGTGACATGAAACACTACATTAGTGTTAATCTAAGGTTAATGAAATAAGGATCATTTAAATCACGGAGGCCTGCTCCAACAACTGTCAACCATTTAACAGTTTCTGAGTCTATATTTAAAATATTATAAATTTTTATGGCATGTGTAGCACCAACTAGTGCAGTCCTTCTTAAAGTGTGGGGCCCGCCCCCTGGGGGGCGCAGAGCCATTGCAGGGGAGCGGAATGAAAAGGGGGGGGACAAACGCTTGGACACTGCTAGCCTACAGAAACGCAATGCAGGGGATGAGGCGTCGCTGAATATGTTTCCAAACCAACTTCATTCTAAGCCAAAGACTAGAAAATATGGTGAAGCATATCTTCCCTTTGGCTTCACCTGCACAAGTGCCAAGGTAAGTCTCCCCTGCAGAATTGATTTTCCCTTTGTAGGGAGCAGCGCTGGGCTGTTTAAATCACGGACAAACAGGATCCCACAGCTGTTTATGTTTTTAAACCCATTTTGCACAGAGAGGCATTTTTTGAAAAATGTATTGATAGCAATGTTGAATATTATTACACATGAAAAAAAAACAACTACACATAAAATAATCACACTGTGACGCCTCTGCCTTTCTAAATGCAGGGACAGTAACTGTGTGTGTATATGTAAGCGTGTAAAACTTGAAGATAGTAAGATCAGTATTTCGTCTCTATCTGCCATTCTGCAATTCATCTCATGTAAACAATAACGTGGCGCACAGCGTGACGTGAAAAAAAGGCACATACCTTTGATGTTGAGTGAGGAACTCTGTATTCCTCGTCCACACGTAAACGCAAAAAAGGGTTTAAAACATCTCCGTTTTCGGTGATTCGAAACGCAGTTTACGTGTGGACGAAACAGCTGCGTTTTCAAAAATACCCGTGTAGGTGCGGACGTAGCCTAAAAGAGTTAGTAGTTTATTTTATTACTACCTGTCATTTATTGCAGATTACTTGTATTTGTTTTAACTGTTTACTAAATGTTTGAGGTGTGAAATAAACCGCAATGGAGCAAAATATGGGTGTGTGTAGTTGGAGGATGTGTTAGTGCGCATGCGTGCGCGCGTACACGCGCGAGAAGGGGGCGGGGGGCGCGAACATTTTTCTTGTAAAACAAAGGGGGGCCTAGCAAAAAATGTTTGGGAACCACTGAACTAGTGCAAGAAAAGAATGTTGATTACAGTTCAGCGTTTAACTCAATAGTGCCCAGCAGACTGTTCACAAAGCTGAGGGATGTAGGACTCAACAGCTGTCTGTGTGCATGAGTGCTGGACTTCCTCACTTACAGAACTCACGTGGTGAGGGTGGATAGATGCGTCTCTCTAACAGCGTCACCATTAACAGGGGTGTTTCCTCTCGCCACTGCTCTACTCCCTCTATACTTCAGACTGTGTGGCCACCCATGGCTCCAACACCATTGTGATGTTTGCTGACGACACCGTGGTGTTGGGCGCCATCTCCAACAACGATGAGGAGGCCTACATTGACGAAGTGAAGAATCTGGCATCATGGAGCCGGGATAACCACCTCCAGCTGAATGTCGGCAAGACCAAGGAGCTAGTGGTGGACTTCAGAAGGAGTCAGCACAGAGACTAAAAGCCCATTATCATCAATGGACCTCCAGTGGAGAGGGTGCAGTCCTTCAAGTATCTCGGTATCCACATTTCATCAGACCTGACATGGTCTGCCCACATTCAGGTCTAGACCAAAAAGGCTAGGCAGCGCCTGTACCACCTCTGACAACTGAGAAAGTTCAGGGTCTCGCCAGTGATCCTCAGGACTTTCTATGCAGGCGCTGTGGAGAGCATCCTCACACAGAACATCACATCCTGGTTTGGGAACAGCTGTGTTAAGGACCAAAAAGCTCTTCAGAGAGTAATCCGTACAGCAGAATGCTGCTGCAGGATTGCCCCTCCCCCCTTAGGGGAGATGCTGGACTAGAGCAGGTCAGATACGTAAGGACCCATCCCATCCGGGCAACAAACTGTTCCAAGGTTCCATATCATCCGGGCAAGGACAGAGAGACTCAAGAGGAGCTTCTAGTCCCAAGCCATCCGGGCACTAAACCTTAACAAACTGAACTAAGATTTTCAACAAAGTACTAATCCTAATATCCATCATTATGTCCTTCACGTATATTTGGTAATCACTTTTCCTTATTTCTAGTATGAAGTAGACCTAATCCTCTCAGTAAAATAATTTCAACAAAGTGAAATATTTCCACATCAGTTTGCCAAACAGATTCAGAAACAGATTTTATAAACTAAAACAAAAAGTCTGGCATATCTTTCTTAAAGGCTCCTGTTTTTGTTTGTTTGTTTGTTTGTTTTATTTTAATTGGGTCTATCACATGCAATAATCTATATTCCCTACCGATATGCTGACAGATATTTGATTTCCTGTCAATACTTTGGAAAGAAACTTAGTTATGTTTGTGGTTCGATCCACCACAAACATAACTAAGTGATCCTCTTGTAAAGTGTTTGGATGTTTTTTGGAAAAGACATTTAATACATGTATAAAATAAATTTAAAAAATTTTATTTTTTGTTTGTTTTCTTTTACTGTTAAATTCAAAGTGTTTTAGTGTTAGATTTGAAATGCTTAAATCAAATCCTGAATGATAAGAAAAAGTATAGTTACCTGTGCTGGATATTCCCAAGAGAAGGATCAGAGCAGTCACCTTCATAGTGATGAACAGGTCAGTTCTACAGATTAGTTTCCCTGGACTGATACTAAACCTCAGGAGCACTGCTACACTTTATATACTGAACAGGTGAATTCAGGATTGGGTGTGTTTAAATTTTTAAAGCATGAACATTTAGAAAAATCATTTGTCAAAGGGTGTGGTACACTACCACACCCTTTGTTCAATTGTACATTGATACAAAAAGGGTATGCAGCAGCGTCCTCATTTTCTCTTTTGCTATGTAACATTATTTTAGTTACATATTCATGCATGTCTTGCATTTCGTTACTTACTAAATTAATGTGACTCCATTAATACTGGTCAGAGTTGATAAAACCTGGTAGAGTATGGAATGAATAGCCATGGTGAGATAATTCCTACCTCATACTACATGAAATATTGCAATGCATTAATGCATTATTTTTTAAAATTCCTCAAAACCTTTTGAAGATTTAATGTACATTTACCTACAGTTTAATGTATATGTATTCCTCATTACTTTTTTCGAAAGGCTTAGCACAACAAACAATGTTTCGGCTTTAATGGCACGAGCCATGGACATTGTCCGGCTGTAGTTACTGTAAAGTCATAATCAATATAAGTCTGTGACCTGAGCTAGAAACAGTCAAAGCACATATGCAAAGGTTGAAACACCATCCCATTCGTATAGTTTGACATCATGTTTTAAGTATACTGTTAAATTATCATCCTATGTAATGCAATTCTTGCTGTTGTGATGTGACACCATTATTTCTATGGATAAATACATCATGCAAACATAAATCACTGTTGTTTTCTATCAGAAACTCAATATATGAAGGTTTTGTGCCTTTATAGATCCACTGTGATCTGCATATTATAATGTAGATGTAACATCACTAGACTCATGAAAAGACTGAAATGTATTGCTGAAACAGAAAACTTTCTCTGCAGCTCATAATTTTTTTTTATATAAATGGCAAATTTATAGTTAAAATCAAGATTTTTAGAATACATTTGACTTTGTCAGGGAAATATCTGTCTAAAACAATGAATAAGGGAATGATATATAATCACTTATTTATTGCACAGGTTGGCTCGTTTGTATTAATACTAATCTGTAATTTTGACAAGCCCAGTAACCGGTCTGTTCAGTGAAATTAATTAGACAGAGGCTTAAAACTGCTGCAGGAGCAGGTGTGGCAGCAGTCTCACCTTGAGTATGACATTAATATTTGTACAGGGAAGGAACCGTAATTTTACTCAGCTGCTGTAGAGAAGTATATTTTAGCTCAAACTTTTCTGTTTTCTCTTTCATCAATTGAAATGTATATTTTGCACTTTGTTAGTTTTGCTATTAATATTTATAATATTAATATCAATGCTTTGACAGATTGCACACATCACCAAGAACAGAAGAAGCTACAACTTTAATAAAAGCTTAAAATACTTGAAATTATTTAGTGTGAGTAGTTATGCAGTGCTAACAAAGGACTGTTTTTCAATGACTTTTCCGCACCCTCTCTTATTGAGATATAATCTATTTATATCTTAACAATAGCAAGGATTAAACATAAGTTATTCTTTTTATCAGGTCTACCACACACACCCCTTTTCTATGCACATCATGTTTTGTTTTTTAATTCTGGCTTCTCTTCTGTGTGTGTTTCGTGCATTGGTAAAAGGACAACAAAGACGGTTGATTTTCATGCAGGATATTTTTACTTTATATTCTGGTTTATCTCGTTATTCAATAGCTAGTTTCATTAGACTCCATCTGCACTCTCTGAACTGAAGATACTTAACTCTTTGCTGAATCCAAGATGTAAATTTACTGATCTTGTATTGAACTTCGTGTCACTGTGGCAGGGGTCACACATTTACCTTACCTGAAAGAGGAGTGAAAGAAGCCATTTATGTCCACTGTGAGCGACCATCTTTGAACAGAGGCGGTGGTTTACGACACCAACTGTCTGCCATCTATAATTCAGTTTTGAGATCCCTCCCCAGACACCTTAACGCCCACTCACACCCTGGGCCATCTGACCTCAGGAAATCACATGATAGGGTGGGGATGGGTTTCACAATGAGCTCACCCGAAACCCTGGCTGATTGTGACCCACCCCCGTTTTCACATCTTGGCTCATGTGATTAGGTAGAGGATCATCAGGGGGTCCTTTTGTCCCTCTTTTGGGGGGAAACTCCCACGGGGTTTAAATCTGGGACTCTCCACCAATTGACCCTTAGAACTGAAGAAGCTTCTCGGATGAGAGGTGAAACGTCTTCAAGCAACTTAAAGAAGTCCAGAAGCTTTTCTTTCCAAGCTCCTTAGACTACGATGACCTGGATGGCTGAGAACCTTCACAGACATTTACCTTAACCTTTTGCACATGACTGTGCAGCTTTAGCAATCTATAGCCAACAGCCTGTGTGGTTCATGTTCTTCCTTGAAAACAATTTTCAAGGAAATGTATCACTTTCTCTTGTATTTAGAGGAAAAAATTATTCGGATGTTATTTTTCTGGTTTTTAAAGTGAGCCACAGCACTCTTGATTTTACGAATAGCTCCCCTACAGTAAGATGATTCAGTGGCTCCAACTTTTTCTGTGTCTCTGGCCTGTAGCCCCACTCTAAAAGCAATCTTGCATTTACATATATTTGATTATGAGTAAACAACTTTCCTCCCAGTTAAAGACACTCTGAAGAGGGTTTCACTTACCAGTATAACTTTATGCACACTTATGTTGCAATGTGCATAAAGAATGTAGTTACATAACATCTGTCATAATGTATGTACCAGGAACTAATAGTGCTCTTGTTTTCCAGTTAAAGTGAATTTGCTGGGAAGACCGGCAAGTGTTTTCCTTGAATGTTTTCCTTTTATGAATAATATTACTCACTGCAGAATAATGGACTTGAACTTGGCTAGAAATGTCCTTTTAACACTTGCCAGATTTATGAACAGAAACATGTATGTATGTGTTATTTATGTAACACATACATACATGTATGTGTTACATACATGTATGTATGTAATCACGGACATACCTAGGAGCCTAGGAGATCACAGACTTTGCTGATCTCCTAGGCTCCGTTCTTTTTAAGTATAGTTGTGTTCTCATTGTCGGTGATTTTAACATACACACTTGCTGTAAGGATGACCCATTTGCTAAAGAATTCCTTGCTTTAACGGACTCTTTTAACCTGGCTCAGTGGGTTAATGACCCAACGCATGTTAAAGGACATACTTTGGACTTGGTTTTCTCATATGGTCTGGACATTTGTATCAAGGATATAAGTGACGCTGGGATCTCGGATCATTTCCCAGTTATATTTGATACTGGCTCATGCACTAATGAACTACATCCTGCGGCTCCCCTTCGCCCGCTACGTGTAATTAATGCTGAAGCGATGTCAAACTTCTCTATGTCTTTCTTGGATTCTGCATCTGTCACTCTCGACCGTTGTTCTTTTCGCTCGGTTGATGACTGTGCTAATTCCTTGTTATCGCTATTTTCTTCAATCCTTGATACTGTTGCCCCCATTAAGATGAAGCGCCCTAGAACCTACTCTCAGTGTTGGCTTAATGACACTACGTCGCGCTGAGAGAAGGTGGAAAAAAGATAAACTTGGAGTTTCTCATGACATGCTACGGACTAGCCGCTTAAAATTCCAAAGTGCTGCTAAAACGGCCAAAGCGTCCTTCATATCCAAAATCATCCTGGCCAATGACCAAAACCCCCGTACCTTATTTAAAATTTTTAACTCTGTGGTTAACCCTTCCCTGGACATGCCTTTAATTTATTCTCAGGCTCTTTGTGAGTGATTTCAAATTCACTTTTTAGAGAAGGCCTCATCCTTCCCCCTGTTTTATATCCTCTCCCCATTCCTGAGTGCATTTCAACTTTCCACCAGTTTGAGCCTGTGTCAATTTTGACTTTTAAGCGGCTAGTTGTTCAAATGAATAACACCAATACTATGCTTGACATTCTTCCATCTCGTTTAGCTAAGGACTGTTTTGATGTAATCGGACCTAGTATCCTATTTCTTATGAACTTTTCCTTGCTCTCAGGCTGTGTTCCTTTGGCCTTTAAGCATGCTGTAGTCCACCCGATTCTTAAAAAAAGAAACTCTGACTGTTATGACCTTTCAAACTACAGACCGATCTCTAAGCTTTCGTTCTTGTCCAAGATCCTGGAGAGACTAGTTCTCTCCCAGCTCCAGGCGTACTTGGACACGAACAATATTGCTGAGAAATTTCAATCTGCCTTTAAGCCATTGCATAGCACTGAAACAGCGTTGGTTAGAGTTCTTAATGATATTCTTGTAATCACTGATACTGGACGCTCTATGGTCCTAGTTTTACTGGACCTCTCTTCGGCCTTTGATATGGTGGACCATAACATTTTATTACTAAGACTTGAGCACACTGTGGGTATTAGAGGCACTGCCCTCGACTGGTTTAAATCATATCTCGCTGATAGATCCTTATCAGTTAACTTAGGCACCTTCTCCTCTTCCTCCGCTCCGGTCTGTTGTGGTGTGCCTCAAGGATCAGTTTTAGGCCCTATTCTCTTCTCATTGTATTTGCTCCCTCTAGGCGCAATCTTTGAAAAATACAATATCGCCTTCCACTGTTATGCCGATGACATACAGATCTATTTTGAACTTACTGACGACCTTGCTGTGTCCCTGCACTACTTTCAAGAATGCATGCGGGAGGTCAAAGAATGGTTCCTGAGTAATTCTCTTGTTTTAAATGATAAGAAGACTGAGATTGTGGTGTTCAACAGTAAAATCCCTCGTGCCCAACTCTGTGCTGCCCTGGGTTCCTTTGCTAGCTCTTCCTGTGACTATGTCAGTAACTTGGGTGTACTGCTGGATAGCTCGCTCAAACTCGATAAGCAAGTGTCTGCTGTAGTGAGATCTAGCTTCCACCAACTGCGCCTTATCTCTAAGGCTAGGCATTATGTTCCGCATGAGGACCTGGAGAAGCTTATTCACGCTTTTGTGACCTCCAGGTTGGATTATTGTAACTCCTTGTACTACGGTCTTCCCTCTTCTCTTCTTCTTAG